ATTCAATTATTTTTTTTTAAATTAGTAAATTCTTTTTGTAATTTTTCACAATATTATTCAATTATTTTCCTAAATAATAAAATTGTTCACGAGAATTCAATTATTTAAAAAAAATTAATTAAAATTCTTCGTAAAAATTCAATTATTTTTCAATATATTGGTAAATTCTTTCTTTAATTCTTTACAATTTATTTACCAACTAATACAATTTTTCACGCGATAATTCAATTATTTAAAAAAAATTAAATAAAATTCTTCGTAAAAATTCAATTATTATTTTTTGATAAATTGATAAATTCTTCTAAGAAATTAATTTATTTTTTAAAAAATATATATTATTTATTTCTTATTTAAATAGTTGAATTTCAGTTGATCTTTCTAATGAGAATTGATTTAAAAAAGAATATCTGGACACATTTTTTAATTGTTGTCAAACTGTAATAATACTTAAATTTTAACTTTGAAAAATTATTAATTTATTTTCTTAATTCCTGTGAACAATTTAAAGTAAATATTATTTGTTTACTTTTAAAAATTACTTTTAAATACAATTGTATTTTTTAGGATAAAAATATTTAGGAAATAATTGAATTTTTTCCAAAATTTAGAATTAAAATTCTTAGCAGGATTAAAATAAAAATAAATATTTTTTATTAAAATCAGGAAACAATCAGGGAAATACTGAATAAAAATTTTTGTGAATTGACTAAAATAATTCTTTTTTATTCGTTAAAATTAATTTTCAATAGCTTATTTTTTTAAAATAAGCTATTTAAAAGTAAATAGGGTTAAAAATAAATATGACTAAAAATAAATAGGGTTAAAAATAAATAGGATTAAAAATAAAAAGGGTTAAAAATAAATATGCTTAAAAATAAAAAGGGTTAAAAATAAATAAAGTCACAAATAAAATATTTCCCTGGGTAAAAAAATAATTATTTGAAAATAAAATCCCTTTATGTGGTAGAAAAAAATAGTGACTCATACACACACACACACACACACACTCATAGAATTGTTATTGTGCCTCGTGGAGTTTTTTTTATGGTTTTTTCTTCACGCCTGGTGTGTGTTCATAGAAATCAAGTTTTGAAAAAAAAAATAGACGGGGAAGAGAAGAAATTCCCTTTTGACCAGTAAAGGCTCGAAACAAAAGTATTATTCGTGGAATAAAAGCTCTATCAGATAGCGACCACCATGGATATCGACCGACGAGCACCGACGAGTCACTCTATAGTTGTAACTCCTCTCTTTCTCTCTCGGCGATTCGCTTGTATTCACCCACGCACATTCACACTCGCATTCAACAATGAACAACGACGCAGAACTGTCGTTTCATGGGGTTTAGCTTTTAGGGTTGCTTGTTCAAATCCATATCTGTCCTACTTGCCAACCATCAAATTCTACAATTTTTCCCTTTTCACTGGGAAATTTATGTTTTATAAACGATTCAATTAAAAATCCATGTGTCACATGTGCGCCGCTGATTATTTAATGGTGTGAACGCTACTCTTTTGATTCCTAGTAGAGAATTTTTTAAGCTTTGTCGAAAAAAGATTATTTTCTTTTTCCTTGAATGAGAAGAGACTTGTTATAATAATTTACAAAGACTATTTTTACTTTTAAGTTGAATAAATTATTTTTGATGCTAGTAAAAATTATTTCTTTTGGTGTACTTGTAGAATACTTTCTCTATAGAGGAATAATTCAGTATAAAGAATTCAATTATTTTCATAAATAATAAAATTCTTCTCTGAAATTCAATTATTTTTTAAAAAATTGATAAATTGTTGAATTCTTTCTTTAATTCTTCATAATTCAATTATTTTTCCAAATAATAAAATTTTTCTCGAGAATTCTTCGCAAGAATTCAATTATTTTAAAAGAATTAAATTAAATTTTTCGCAAAAATTCAATTATTTTCATAAAAAATAAAATTCATCTCAAAAATTCAATTTTTTTTTAAATTGATAAATTGTGGAATTCTTTCTTTAATTCTTCACAATTCAATTATTTTTTTAAATAATAAAATTTTCCTCGAGAATTCAATTATTTTTCAAAAAATTGAAAAATTCTTCTAAGAAATTCAATTATTTTTTTAAAATATGGGTAAATTCTTTCCGTAATTCTTCACAATTATTCAATTATTTTCCTAAATAATAAAATTTTTCTCGAGAATTCAATTATTTTAAAAGAATTAAATAAAATTTTCCTCGAGAATTAAATTACTTTAAAATAATTAAATAAAATTTTACTCGAGAATTCAATTATTTTCAGAAATAATAAAATTTTTCTCAGAAATTCAATTATTTTTAAAAAAAATTTCTTTCTGTAATTCTTCACAATTATTTAATTATTTTGCTAAATAATACAAATTTTTCTCGAGAATTCAATTATTTAAAAATAATTCAATAAAATTCTTCGCAAAAATTCAATTATTTTTCAATAAATTGGTAAATTCTTCTCAGAAATTCAATTATTTTCTTCAATAAATTAGTAAATTTTTCTCAGAAATTCAATTATTTTCTTCAATAATAAAATTTTTCTCGAGAATTCAATTATTTCCAAAGAATTAAGTAAAATTCTACGCAAGGATACAATTAATTTCATAAATGATAAAATTTTTCTCAGAAATTCAATTATTTTTTAAAAAATTGATAAATTTTTAAATTCCTTCTTTAATTCTTCACAATTATTCAATTATTTTTCCAAATAATAAAATTTTTCACGAGAATTCAATTATTCAAAAAAAATTATTTTAATAAAATTCTACACAAACCTTTAATTATTTTCAAAAAATAATAAAAAATATACAGAAATTCAATTATTTACAATTTTTATGTAAATTTCTTACCCATAATTCAATTCTTTTCGTAAAGTAAAATTCTTTTTAGAAATTCAATTATTTTTTAAAAAGTTGATAAATTCTTGAATTCCTTCTTTTATTGTTGGCAAATATTCAAGTATTTTTGCAAATAATAAAATTTTTCATTTTTAGAAAGAATTGAATTTTGAAAAGTTTTAAATTAAAACCTTGGAAAAACTGAATGTTTCTTACTTTTCAACTAAGAATTCTGTAGAATTATTTTTGTTTAAACGTTCTCGTCAAAATTTTAATTATTATCTTTATAAATAATAAAAAACTTCTAAGGAATTCAATTGTTTTAAAAATTTTAATAAAATTCTTGTCAAAATTTCAATTATCTTTAGAAATAATTAAATTCTTCTCCGCAATTCAATTATTTTCAAAAATTTTAATAAAATTCTTGGCAAAATTTCAATTATTTTCAAAAATTTTACCCAATTCATAAAATAATATAAATTTCCCAGAAATTCAATTTTTCAATTATTCGTCGAAGGAATTCAATTATTTAAAAATTTGTTGATAAAATTCATTATGAGAATTTAATTTGGAGAAGTTACTAATAATTGTAATTTTTAAAAATAATTTAATTTTGAAAAGGTTTCAAATTAAAATCTTTTCAAATCTTAATTTTTCATACTTTTAACTAACAATTTATAGAATTAATTTTTTTTGGAAAAATTCTTGTCAATAAATATTTTTTCAAAATTCAATTATTTTCAAAAATTTTGATAAAATTCTTTACAAAATTTCAATTTGTTCAAAAATTAAAAAAAAATTCTTGTCAAAATTTCAGTTATCTTTATAAATTATAAAAGATTTCTTCGAAATTCAATTATTTTCAAAATTTTTTAATAAAATTCTTCGCAATCATTGAATTATCTTCATAAATATAATAAAATTTTCACAGAGATTCAATTATTTAGGTAAATAATAAAATTCTTTTTAGGAATTCAATTATTTTCACAAATAATAAAACTCATCGCAGAATTTCAATTACTTTTAATACAATTTTAATGGAATTTCTTGAAAAATTTAATTATTCTTAAAAATAATTGTATTCAAATTAAAATTCATCAAAGAAATTCAATTGTTGTAAAAGTCTTCTTATAATTTATTTATTAGAATTTAAATATCATTGTTAATACATTTTTAATTAAATTTCTTGAAAGAATTAAATTATTTTGAAAAATTTCAATGAAATTCTTTTTAACAAAATTTAATTTTTTTTCAAAATAATTTTACTAAAATACTTCGTAGAAATTTAATTAATTTCCAAAATTTATCAAAATTCAATTATTTTCAAAAACTTTTCTAAATTTAATCACATTTTTTTTTACAAAGATTCAATTATTTTTAATATAATTTTAATCTAATTTCTAGAAAAATTAAATTATTCTTACAAATGTTAATATAGAATTCGTCAAAAGAATTTTAATTACCGATTCAAAAATTTGCTGATAAAATTCTTTATGAGAGTTTAATTTTAAAAAATATTCAATTCTTCAATAAGTTATTTATTTTTGTATTTAAATAATTGAATTCTCGTAGTAATAAAAATTGATTCAAAAATGAACTCTAGTTAAAATTTTAGATAATAATTGAATATTAAAAGCAATATGTGAATTTTTAAAAATAATTGAATTTTGAAAAGGTTTCAGATAAAAATTTTTGCAAATTTGAATTTTTCATATTTTTAACTAACAATTTTGTGGAATTAATTTTTTTTGAGAAAGTTTAATTGATTATTTTTTGGATTATTTTAAATTATTTTAAGTTTTTATTTTCTCATATTATATTTAATTGAAGAATTAACGAATAATTGAAATTTCGTAAAATTGAATATTGTAATTCAATGGATTTGAAAATTGTCAAAGATCTTTTTCGAAAATTATTAAAAAATAAACGATTTTAAGAAGAATTTTAGTTGAAAATTCTAATAATTTTATCACTCAATCTATTTTTTTTTTGGTCCGGAAATGGTCCCTAATTTTTTATTTTTGGTCCGTAAAATCCGTATTTTTAAATACTTTCACTGAAAAGTGAGTGATTTTATTGAATGAAAATTTATTGAGATGAAAAATTTGTAACAAGGGATCGTATAATTTGGGTTTTTGATTTATTTGCTCGTTTGCAGGTGCAAGAAAGCGCACAAGTCGGCGTCAACGATGGATAGAATAACGAGGTGGTCTTGAATGGCCATTTGCCAAAAACTTGTGAACCTATACAACGGGCGTCGTTTGAAACGCAACATGGAGACACTTCAGGGAGACGGAAATTCCAGCATAATTCGCGTCTAGACCTAGATTCTGATCGGTCAGCATCCGACAAGGATTCAAAAATGGGCAAGTGTTGCAGTAAGCGGCAGGAGCCTCAACCAATCGGTAAATATTTTTTCCCCCTTTTTTTTTTTATTTTTATCATGTACAGTCGAGACATTTCATTTTCATCGCACCATTTTATTGTTTTTTTGTAAATATTTTATATTATGTATATAATAAAAAAAAATTACCCTGAATCAAATTTAATTCAAATAAATTATATTTGGTTGGAAATAAATTTTTCCCTGGGTGTATGAAATAAAAAAATTGTGTGTACAAAATTGTGAATCTCTTAAAATTTGTTTCTAACTTGGTCGATTTTTTTATATTTTTATTCTCTAATATTCTTCTTAGGGTGTTTTCTATACTTTTCATTATTTTCTGAACACATCTGATTAAATTTGAATTTATATCTTTAGATTCAAAACGTGGAAGTACGCAAAGTTTGGCAGAAACGATTTTTTAAAAAATTTATTTAGAGAAGAAAATTATTCAAAGACTATGAAGAAATTGAAGACGAAAAAAATGTCGATAAGGAAATTGAAACAATTAAAAATTATTTGATACAAATAAAAATTACTTAAAATTGAAACAAATAAAAATTGCTAGAAATTTAATCAATTAAAAATTATTTGATATAGATACAATTAAAAATTGCTTGAAATTTGAACAAATAAAAATCATTTGCTACAATTAAAAATTATTTGAAAAATAATTCAAAATTCCTTGAACTTGAAACAAATAAAAATTACCAACTTAAATTTAATACAATTAAAAATTATTTGAAATTTGAACAAATAAAAATTACGAACTTAAATTTAATACAATTAAAAATTACTTGAAATTGAAAAAATTAAAAATTACTTCAAATTGAAACACATAAAAATTACTTGAAATTGAAACAAATAAAATTTGCCAGAAATTGGAACATTTTTAAAATTATTTGAAATTGAAAGAAATAAAATTCATTTGCTACAATTAAAAATTACTTGAAATTAAAACAAATAAAAATTGCTAGAAATTGAAACAATTAAAAATTACTTGAAATTGAAAGAAAAAAAATCATTGGCTACAATTAAAAATTATTTGATGCAATTTAAAATTACTTGAAATTGAAAAAATTAAAAATTACTTAAAATTGAAACATATAAAAATTACTAGAAATTGAAACAATTGAAAATTATTTGATTCAATTAAAAATTACTTGAAATTGAAATAAGCAATAATCATTTGCAACAATTAAAAATTATTTGATGCAATTGAAATTACTTTTTAGAAAATTACAATTTAAAATTACTTGAAATTGAAAAAATTAAAAATTACTTCAAATTGAAACACATAAAAATTACTAGAAATTAAAACAATTAAAAATTATTTTATGCAATTGAAGATTACTTGAAATAGAAACAAATAAATATTACTAGAAATGGAAACAAAAAAATATTTATACAAATAAAAATTACTTCACATAAATTAAAATTATTTGACAGAAATGAAAATTACTTGAGATTGAAACCAAATTAAAATTACTTAAAATTGAAACAAATAAAAATTACTAGAAATTGAACCAATTAAAAATTACTTGAAATTGATATAAGTAAGTAAAAAAGTAAGTAAAAAAAAAATAAAAAAAAAAAAATATAAAAAAAAATAAAAAATAAAATATAAAAGTAAGTAAAAATCATTTGCTACAATTAAAAATTATTTGATGCAATTAAAAATTACTTGAAATTGAAACAAATCAAAATTACTAGAAATTGAAACAATTAAAAATTATTTGATTTAATTAAAAATTTTTAGAACTTGAAACAAATAAAAATCATTTGCTACAATTAACAATTATTTAATGCAATTAAAATTTATTTGCAATTGAAACAAATAAAAATTGCTAGAAATTGCAACAAATAAAAATTATTTAATACAATTAAAAATTACTTGAAATTTAAACAAAAAAAATCGTTAGCTACAATTTAAAATTATTTGATACAATTAAAAATTGCTAGAAATTGAAACTAAAATTATTTTATACAATTAAAAATTACTTGAAATTGAAACAAATAAAAATTGCTTAAAATGGAAACAAAAATTATAATTATAACACAAATAGAAATTACTTCAAATAAATTAAAATTATTTGACAGAAATAAAAATTACTTCAAATTGAAACCAAATTAAAATTACTTTAAATTGAATAAAAAATTATTTACCGCAAATAAAAATTACTTGAAAAGTTCTCAAGTTGGAGAAATTAAACCACTAATTTATTCCTAAAATCTCTTGATTTGTAATTAAAAAAATAATAAATAAATTTTATATTTTTATTTTTTCTCAGTTAAGTTATTAAAATAGAAGAAAAAAAATTTTCGTTTCTAAATAAATATTGCGTACTTCATAACTTTTTTTAAATTCATATATAACATATAGTTGATAAAATTATTGCTATATTATGACTATAATTTTTTTGAAACGTTGAACTTTACTATTTATAGTAATTTGTAATTGTGATTGGAACATCTTCATTTAAACTGGAAAGCTAGATAATTAGATTTGAAAAATGAGGTCAATTGGTTCTTTAACCTTCGACACTCACGTTAACTCAAAGTTAAAACTTTTTTATCAGATTAGTCAGCAGCGTCTCGTAAATGATACTAGACAGATGCTCAAATAAAATTTAACACAGACTTTTTTCAAAGACTCTTTTTCACTTGAAAAAAAAGGGGGGAAAAACGCACACTAGACTGTTTACTTATACTTTTTATAATCCTTTGGATAAATTTTCTTTTTTCATTTTATTATTTTTTCCTTTTATTTATTTTTTATTATTTTCTTTTCTTATTTTTCTTAATTTAGTATCAATTCATCCAATTCTTTATATTTCACATTTTTTTATTTTTTTGGTAACTTAATTCAAATATATTTTTAATATTTTTAATAATTATTAATAATTCAATATTAGCAATTAATAATTAATAATTAATGCCTAAAAATTAAGAATAATAATTTATTTATTATTATTTTATTATTATTTAGTTACTAGAAAAAATTCTAAAATGAATAATAATAATTTATTTATTATTATTTATTATTTATTATTTAGTTACTAGAAAAAATTCTAAAATGAATAATAATAATTTATTTATTGTTTAACTACTAGAAAAAATTCTAAAAGTAATAATAATGTTAATAGCTAGTAATTAATTAATTAGAAAAAAAAATTTATTTTTTTTTTTCATTTATTTGCAACTTGAACGGTTTTTCAAAAAATAATAAATGATTTGTTTGTATTTTATTTTTTTAAAAGGTAAAGGGACTTAAAAATAGTAATAAAAATAATTAATATAATAAGAAGTGGAAGGAGAAATTAAATTTAATACGAACTTTTTTTTATTTGTAAGAAAATGTGTTTTTAGGGTACAAAAAAGCTGACACTGGGCTAAGTTCAAAGCACAGCAATGGAGGCTCCCTGGACCGATATACTGCCGATCCGAATCAGAGAGGAGTTCAGGCCAGGGCGGATATTATTCGCCCGAGGCCCACACCCTGTAAGCTTCAGATTCCACATCAACCCCGTAAATCAAGCTCGCCTGTCATAGTACCTGCATGTGTGTATTTTTATTTTGTTTGTCTAATTTAATTTACGAGGTTGTATATCTATACCCATATACTACTTATATACAATCTTTCGAAATTTTTACTTCTGCTTTGCCATCATTTTTTATTTTTATTTTTAAATTAAGTTTATTAGCTTTTGGTAATTCATTTTTTAGAAAGAAAATTTTATTTAAGAACGGAAAAAAATTTTTACCCGGAACAATTAAAAATTTTGCTAAAATAGCGAAATTTTTAGTTGTTCCAGGCAGAAATTTTTTTTTAGTTAAGACTTTCGCTATTTTAAAAAAAATTTTTTTGCTGACGAAAAACTGACTTGAAATTGAAATTATTGAAAATTTTTTTAAACAATGCAAAATTTACTTGATAGAATGAAAAGTTACTTGAAAATGAAGCAAATAAAAATTACTTGAAATAAAAAAAATTACTTGAAATTGAAACAATTAAAAATTATTTGATACAATTAAAAATTACTTGAAATTAAAACAAATTAAAATTGCTAGAAATTGAAATAAAAATTATATAATACAAATAAAAATTACTTCAGTTAAATAAAAATTATTTGAAACAAATATAAATTACTTGAAATTGGAACAAATAAAAATTATTTAATACAATTAAAAATTTCTTGATAAAATTAAAAATGACTTGAAATTGAAATTATTAAAAATTAGTTATTAATACAATTTTTGATACAATTCAAAATTTACTTGATAGAATGAAAAGTTACTTGACATTGAAGCAAATAAAAATTACTTGAAATTGAAACAATTAAAAATTATTTGATACAATTAAAAATTACTTGATAAAATTAAAAATTATTTGAAATTGAAGCAAATAAAAATGACTTGATATTGAAACAAATAAAAATTACTTAATTAATTATTAAATTTACTTAAATCAAATAATTTTTGTTCGAATCAAATAAATTGTATTTGCACCAATAATTTTTGTTCCAATCAAATAAATTGTATTTAAACCAATAATTTCAGTATTTAATTCAAATACATCAGAAATTGAATTGAAAATGAATTGAAATTGGATTCACAAAAAGTAATTGACTAAAAGAAAAATTAGAAAAAAAATTAAAATAAAAAATAACTACAAAAAAATTTGAAGACAACTAAAATAAAAATTGGAAAAGAATAAATAAAAAATCAAATATTTATTTGATAAATATAAGTAATCGTATATTTGAAGCTAATAAATTGTGTTTAAACGAATAATTTGAAGGAAATACAATTGAAATTTTATCGAAAAAGAATTAAAATTAAATTGTCTAAGAATTAATTGAGTAAAAGACAAAATTAGAACAAAAATTAAAATTAAAGATAAGCTAAAATATAATTTGAAGAAAACTAAAATAAAAATTGAGAAAAAAACTAAAATAAAAATTGAAAGAAACTGAAATAGAAATGGGAAATCAAATATTTATTTGATAAAGATAAGTAATCATTTATTTGAAGCAAAATAAATAAAAAAAAATAAAAATTAAAAAAGTTAAAATATAATTTGAAGAAAAATAAAATCAAAATTAAAAAGAAACTAAAATAAAAATTGAAAATGACTAAAATAAAAAAAAAAAAATCAAATATTTATTCGATAAAGATAAGTAATTTTTTATTTGGAATCAAATAAATATTTTTTCCAGTTTAAAGTGAAATTTTTTTCCTTACAAAAAAAATCCAGAGTTGAGATAAAAATTTTTCTATCGAATTCTATATTTGGAAATTTGAATTTTTATTTTAGAAAAGAAAATAAATTTTTGAAAAAATAGAAATTTCTTGGCAAATAACAGTAAAATAAAACGTGTTCCTTTAAAACGACTCTAATATCGATTTCCCGACAACAAAATTGAGGATAAAACTTTAGCGTCAAGTATAAGAATTAAACTTATTTTGACTTACCTTAATGGAAGATCTGAACAATGAATTACCGCTTGTTTAAACTTCAAATTCAAAAGTTGCAAACAAATTGCCGAGTTTTCCTCTCATATTGAAAGTTGTACCGCGAGTTCCTGAGACATAAACTTTATTTCGAATCCAGAAGTTAGAAGTTCCTTTCATAAAACCAAAAAAAAAAAAAAAAAAATAACAAAAGAGCTAGAAGAGAAAGAGATGAATAGAGAGATATTGAAAATGCGAGCATGTCATGAGTAATTTTACATATTTGCCCATTATTTGTCTTTTAAAATTAAATTTATTTCATACTGTTAAATAAAAATTTTATAATTAATTGTGTATTAAAAAAATTTTATCATAATTAATTTATTATTTGTGTATTAAAAAAAATTGCTAATTATTATTTGTATGTGATTAATTTAATTATTAATGTTTCACTTCATTGTTACTAAGTTGTTTCATAAAGCTATGAAACTTATTATGTTGCTAATTTCATTAGAAATTTACTATTCATTTATTGTTTAATTAATTTAATTAGAATTTAGTCTAGTTTGAAATTATCTAGAAATTGGAGAGAGCTTTTTATCAATTTTCTTGCTTCGTATTTTTGATAATTATGATTTCAGCTCATTTTTTAATTACTGCGTTCAAATAGAAAGCTTACTGAATTTTTTTACCACCTGTCCTTTAATAAATCGATGAATAATAATATTATTTTAAATATTATTAATATTAAAATTTATTTCAATATTATTAATATTAAAATTTATTTCAATATTATTTTATTTTTTTAATATTTTTTTATTTAATAATTTAATTTATATTTTAATAATTAATAATATAATACATTCAAATCTCGATAAATAAACTTTCGAGAAATAAACCCCTGGATAATTTGAATTTTTTCCATGTTCTTTGAGATTCACTTTATCGAGAGTCGACTGTCATTAAAATTAAAATTAATTATAATAGTATTAATATAATTATGATTTATTATTTTTGATTAAATTAATATTGATTTAAAATTTTATTTAATTTAATAAAATTTATCTTAATTGAACTTTAATTTAATTTAATTAAAATTTAAGTTAACTTAATTTAATTTAATTTAAAAAAAGGAAAAAATTTTTTTGATGAAATATTTATGGATTAATTAATGATGATAAAAATTGTTTTTTCATTAGCACATTCACAAAGGGCCAATAAAATTGTCGTTGCTCTTTATAATTACACGGCGCGAGAGAGCACCGATGTGAGTTTCGTCAAGGGCGATCGCATGGAGGTCCTGGACGATTCTGAGCCCGATTGGTGGAAAGTTCTGCATCTCACGACTCTTCAAGAGGGTCTCATCCCCTGGAACTTTGTCGCAGTTGAACGTTCAGTAGAAAGCGAAGAGTAAGAAATTCATTTTTTTTTTATTATTGCAAATTATTGGTATTTTTCTTCAATAGCAAAGTTTTTATATCTTATTATTTTTATTTTATTTTATTAATTTTTTATTTCCAAGAATTTTTTTATCGTTATTTAGTTATTTTTCAAGAAAATAAAATTTTTCGCATAAATTCAATTTTTGTTCGAAAATTAAAAAAAAATTCTCGTCAAAATTTCAATTATCTTTATAAATAATAAAATTCTTCTCTGAAATTGAATTATTTTCAAAAATAAATTTGAGTTTTAGTAAAATTCTTGGAAAAATTTCAAATAGGTATTTCAAAAAAATTTTCCCCAATTCAATGCTTTTCGATAATTACGATTTTAATAAAATTTTATAAAACAATTAAATTATTTAAAAAACATTTAAGGCAAAGTTTTGTTTATTTTTAATACAATTTTATTCAAATTTCTCCAAAAATGTAATTATTCATAAAAATTTTATTAACATTCATCAAAAGAATTCAATTATTTAACAATTTGTTAATAAAATTTTTTATGAGAATTTATTTTTAAGAATTAATCAATTATTCAATAAATTATTTATTTTTGTATTTAAATAACTGAAGTCTCGTAGAATTTTCAATTTTCTAATCAAAATTGATTTAAAAATTAATTTTATTGAAAATTTTAGATAATAATTGAATATTAGAAGCATTGGGGCATGAATTTTTCGAAAGAATTGAATTTTGAAAAGGTTTCAAATTAAAATCTTAGAAAATCTGAATTTTTCATACTTTTCAACTAACAATTCTGTAGAATTAATTTTTTTTTAAAAGTTCTCGTCACAATTTCAATTATCTTTAAATAAATAATAAAATTCTTCTAAAAAATTTAATTTGTTTTCGAAAATTTTAATAAAATTTCTTGTCAAAATTTTGAATTATTTTCAAAAATTTTTCGGAATTCAATGTTTTTCAATATTTACTATTTTAATTAAATTTTCCAAAATAATTCAATTACTTAAAAAAGACATTTAATTATTTTCATAAAAATTTAACAGAAATTCGATTTTTTACAATTTTTTAAAAAAATTTCTTCGCAATAATTCAATTATTTTAATAAATAATAAATTTTTCTAGCAATTCAATTATTAAATTCTTCTATGAAATTCAATTATTTTCAAATATTTGATCGAAATTCTTGTGAAAATTTCAATTATTTTCAAACATTTTCCCCAATTCAATAATTTTCAATATTTAGGTACTATTTTAATTAAATTTTCCAAAGGAACTTAATTATTTAAAAAAAACATTTAATTATTTTCATAAAATAATAAAAATTCCACAGAAATTCAATTATTTTCATAAAATAATAAAAAATTTATAGAAATTTAATTATTTACAAATTTTTTATAAATTTTTTAGCAATAATTCAATTATTTTCAAAAATTTTAATATATTTTTTATCAAAATTTCAATTATTTTCAAAAATTTTAATAAATTTCTTGTCAAAATTTCAATTATTTTCAAATTTTTTTCTCAATTCAATTATTTTCAATATTTATGATTTTAATAACATTTTCGAAAAGAATTTAATTATTTTCATGAATAATAAAATTCTTTTTAGGAATTCAATTATTTTTATAAGTAATAAAACTTATCGCAGAATTTCAATTATTTTTAATACAATTTTAATCAAAATCCTCGGAAAATGTAGTATTTTTGAAAAAACATTGAAGTTTTAACAAATGAATTTGAAAATTTTTAGAAGAACTTTTTCAAAAATTATTAATAATAATTGATTTAAAAAAGAATTTTAGTTAGAAATTCTAGAAAATAATAATTGAATTGAAATGATAAAAATAATTTTCAAAAACTTACAGTAACAATATTTTTATAATATAAAATAATGATTTTATCACACGGTCATTTTTAATAATATTCTTATAAGTTGTTGAATTTGGAATTTTTTAAATTCTTAATTCCTATGAAAAAATAGTATTGATTAAATATTTATTTAAAAACGAAGTTATTGATGTTTTCGAATAATTTTCTAATTAAAGAAACTCGTAAATAAATGTAACAGAACATTTTTTTTAGTATCTAATAATTTTTGGACTGAATCATAATATTCTTTAGCTTCAGGGAAAAAGTCAAAATTTTTTCTGGAAATCAGGGAAAAACAAAATTAAATTTTTGTGGCAACTCTGTAATTATTTAAAATTAAATTTGAAGAAAAGTATTTTTTTTAATTTAGAAAAAATTTTCCACTGAGTGTTAAAATTTTGTGTTTTGGAATTTTCAGTTGGTTCTTCGAAAACGTCTCCAGAAAGGAAGCTGGCAAGTTACTTCTGGTTGATGAAAATCCTCGTGGTACTTTCCTAGTCAGACCCAGCGAACACAATCCAAGGGGTTATAGTTTATCGGTGAAGGATTGGGAGGAGGGAAGAGGTCATCACGTGAAACATTATAAAATTAAACCCTTGGATAATGGCGGATTTTTCATTGCCACAAATCAAACATTCCCCACGTTACCTGCACTTGTTATGGCTTACAGTAGTAAGTGAAATTTCTCTTTCTAGAAAAATATCCAATTTCCTTTTTTCCAAATATGAAAAATGAATCTCTTTTTAAGTTTTCAAAAGAAAAATATCTGATGTTTTCATTCAAAAAATTAATTCTTTTGCAAAAAGGAAGATATTTGATTTTATTTAGCAAAAAGAAAATATTTGATTTTATTTTGCAAAAGGAAAATATTTGATTTTATTTTGCAAAAGGAAAATATTTGATTTTATTTCGTAAAAAGAAAATATTTGATTTTATTTTGCAAAAACAAAATGTTTGATTTTATTTTGCAAGAAGAAAATTTCGGGAATTTATTCTGTTGAATGAATAATTAGTTTTCTTTTTAATTGTGCAAAAAGAAAAATTTTTTAATATTTGATTTTATTTTGTCGAATGAAAAATTAATTCTTTCTATTTTAATTTTGCAAAAAAAAAAGAAAATGCCTTGGGTCTTTGCCACGTTCTCTCGAAACCATGTCCAAAGCCACAGCCCGACATGTGGGACTTGGGTCCAGAATTGCGGGACAAATGGGAGATAAATCGCAATGAAATTCAACTAATAAGAAAATTGGGTCATGGAAACTTTGGCGAAGTCTACTATGGAAAATGGCGAAATAAAATAGAAGTCGCTGTGAAAACACTTCGTCCTGGGACAATGTCAACCGAGGCATTCCTCCAAGAGGCAGCGATTATGAAACAATTTAGGCATCGACATCTCGTTGCGCTCTACGCCGTTTGTTCAAAGGAAGAACCAATTTACATTGTACAGGAATATATGTGCAATGGTAGTTTGTTAGATTTCCTCAGGACAGGCGATGGTAAATATATGCAATTCGAGGATCTCATTTACATTGCCGCGCAAGTCGCTTCTGGCATGGAACATCTCGAAAGTAAACAACTTATTCATAGGTAAACGAAATTGTTGATATTCATTTACTCGATATTATCGTAAATATTAAATATAATCGTAAATATTCCTAAATATTAAATATTATCGTAAATATTCCTAAATATCAATATTTTTTGAGTAATTTTTTTTCCTTGTTGTATTTAAATTTTGATGCATTGGTATATTAACTAATTGATTTATTAATTTCCACTAACAGAGATTTAGCAGCTAGAAACGTTTTAATAGGGGAGAAAAATAAGGCGAAAATATGTGATTTCGGTCTCGCGAGAGTCATTGAGGACGATGAGTATTGTCCGAAACAGGGAAGCAGATTTCCAGTGAAGTGGACAGCACCCGAAGCTATTGTTTATGGAAGATTTAGTATTAAGAGTGACGTCTGGTCCTATGGAATTCTACTGATGGAACTCTTTACCTACGGACAAGTTCCATATCCTGGTGAGTTTCCGTCTTTTAATAAACTTTTCTCCATTTATTTTGAAAGTTCTCCTTTTTCTTCTATATTGATAATTTTTTTATTTTTATTTTTAACTGTACAGACTATTCGATTTTTATTATTTTACTTTACTTACTATTTAAAATATTTTAATTTTACTATTTTATTTTACTTACTATTTAAACTGTTTTAATTTTTCTTCTACTTTACTTACTACTTAAACTATTCAAACTATTTTATTTTTACTCTTTTAATTTACTCATATTTTATTTACTATTTTATTTTACTGTTAATATATTCATTGAATATTACAGGGATCACAGTTAGTCCCTTTATTAATTATCTAATTCCCGTTTTTCCCTCTTTTCCATTTTTTTATCCCCAGTTGGTTCCCATATTTTTCTCGTTTTTTTCTCTTTTCCTCTTTTTTATACTATTAAATTAAAAAATTCCCTAAAACAGCTAAACCAATCTATATTCTCCTCTTTTCCCTTTTTCTTAAAAAAGAAAAACTTACGAAAATTCTCATTTTTTGCAAGTTAAAAAAATTTTTTAGTTCTTTTGAAGAAGAAAATTTCTACCTTTTTGCAAACTTGGAAAAATGTTTAGATTTTCGAAACTTAAAAAAATGTTTATATTATATTTTCTCCGAGTTTTTAAACTTGGGAATTTTCTATACAAATTGCAAAATAACTTTTACTACAATTACAAATTAAAACTCGAACAGTTTGGAATTTCTGTCAACTATTTAATTGCAGAATATTAAAACTATTTTCTGATTAAAGAAATTAGAATATATTTTAATATCTTGAAAGTATATTTTACAAATTTTTATTAAAATTTACTTTTATTATAAAATTGACTTTTGAAATAGAAATTTTCAATAGCAAATTTGACTATTTCCAGAATTAATGTTTGTATAAGAATTTTTTTAATTTTCCTCGAACGCAGTATAATTTGTTATTAAAAATGATTAATTCCAGAGTAAATTTTACTACTTCTAAAGTGAATTTTTCTTATTTTTTACATAAAGAAATTTTCGAAATTTTCGAAAATAGTCAAAGTTATTCTGGGAATAATAATTCCTAATAATAAATTTTACAATTTTTAGAGGAGATTTTATCAATTTCGAAATAAATTTGACTGAAATTTACTTCGTATTTAGTAAAATTCATGGAATTTTAAAATAAAAGTATCTACTTAATTTTAATAAAATTCTTTAAAGAAATTCAATTATTTTCGAAACAACTTTAATTGAATTTCTGGAAAAAATTTCATTACATATTTTTAAATATTTCTACAAAATTCTTCATAACAATTTAATTATTTCTTAAAATTTTAATAAATTCTTCGAAACATCTAAATTATTTTTATAAATAGACTATGTACTATTTTACTATTTAAAATAGTAAAATCCTTTGCAGAAATTCTATTCTATTCAAAGCAATTTAAATAGAATTCCTCGAAAGAATTTAAATTTTCAAATATTATCATAAAATTAATTTATTTTCTAAAATTTTATTTATTTATTTATTCAAAATACACGGGCTTTAAAGCCCAATCGTACCAAGTACTGTTGAAACTTTACAAGAACTAAGGGACACTCCAAAAAAATCCATGAAATCACGGTGTTCATTTGCCTCTCTGCTCAATCTATTGATTGTAGAATTATCAAAATAATTTCTTCTAGCCTTAGATTTTAATTTTAATAAATTCTTCAGGAACAATTTCAATTATTTTTATAAATAGTAAAATTCTTCGCAAGAATTCAATTTTAATAAAATTCTTCTTTATAAATTTCAATTGCTTTTAAAATTTTCAATTAAAATTATTAAAAAAAACTCCATTAGTTTAAAAAAAATTCAAAGAAATTCTTCAAAAGAATTTAATTAGAATTTTTAGCGAGAATTCAGTTATTTTCCTAAATAATAAAATTCTTTGATGAAATTCTATTATTATCAAACTTTTTGATAAAATTCTTTGCAACAATTCAATTCAATGATTATTTTATTATTATTAATAATTGATTTAAAGAAGAATTTTAGTTGAAAATTCTAGAAAATAATTATTGAATTGAAATCATAAAAATGATTTTCAAGAAGTGTTTTCTAATAAAATATTTTTATAAGATGTATTTGAAAAAGATTGTTGAATTTCAAAAAGGTTTGAATTTGATATCTTTGAAAATTTTAATCCCTATGTGATTTTTTTAAAACTAAATTCCCTTCTTAAAAATAAAACTCCCCCTTTTTCCTAATAATTCATGAAAAAATCACTGTGATCTCTGTTTATATATTTCCGCTGAATATTAATATTTTTACTAACATTGATAATTTTTTTTTTATTTTAGGAATGCACGGTCGAGAAGTGATTGAACAAGTGGACAAGGGCTATCGAATGCCGAAGCCCGTGAATCATCCCCTTCCGGATAGTATCTATCGATTAATGTTACAATGCTGGGACGCAACACCCGAGAAACGACCCACGTTCGAATTTCTCAATCACTATTTCGAGTCATTTAATGTCACAAGTGAAATTCCGTATCTAGAACCGCCAACAGACTGATACACGGCCCACATGCAAAGTCACATGGTGCCGCACGGTCACTTTCATCCGGCGCACGTCAATTGTGCCATGGAGTTTTATGGTATTTATTGTTGAAAGTGTGTTCGCAAAAAAAATAAAACAACTCGTAATGTTGTTAAATAAACGCGATAAAAACACAATTTATTAGACGGGGTGGAATTTTTTGTCAAAACTCCTCCGACACATTTTTTCAGTGAGTTTTTCACGAATAAAAAAAAACACTTGCTGCTGCCAGAAATCGGAACTTTTTTTTATGACAGAGTGATTCGAAATAATGTGCCATGAACATGAATTTTTTTCTACATTTTGCTTCGTTAGGAATTTTTCCCATATATTTTTCATTGAAGCAAAATTTTCCCTTGTGAATGAGAAAAAAAAGAAACCTGACTGACAAAGAATGACTGACAGTCGTGGAAAAGTGATGACATTTTTTTTAAACTTTTCAATTTTGGAGAATTATTTTCAAAAACTTTCTGTTTTTTTTTGTGAAATTTATTTTTCCACGAGTATCAGTGGGTGCCAAGATATTTGCAATTTTTTTTTTGCGATGGATGCATTTTAGGAAGCGTATGAGATGCGTTTTAAAAATTTACCCTTTTTAGAGAGTAGCATCGACAGAGTCGAAAAAAATTTACACGTGAACAAATAAATGAACTAGTTACTGTATAACCGCAGGTTAGTCGGTTAGAGAACGGTTACAATTTATAAATATATATATATAAATATATAAATAAATATGAATGTATATTTAATGAAAGGAGACACAAAAAAACCCGTTAAAAAAAAAATTTACTCAATTAAAACAATTTTTGGAAGTTCGAATTGTTTTCGAAATTCAATCGTACTTCCTAATTCTTTCTCTGAAGAACTTTCTCTGAAACTTGGAAATTGCCTCTCACATTTCTGGAATATTTTTTTTTCTCGAATTTCTCAGGCTTGAGAAGTTTCAGAATTGTTTTTCTTCTTCTTCTTGTCTATTCGTATCGTTGGTTCCTTCAGCGCGCATTCAGGGCGCAAATAACTAAATAGTGTTTGTAAAGTAGAGAGAAAATTTTTAAAAAAAGGCTCTAGTTCCTAGAAAAGTTGAAAATATTTTCAAAGATCGTAAGAAATATTTTTTTCGTTAAAATTTCCAATATGGGAGAAATTAATTTCATTCTACAATTCAGTGGGGGAAATTTTTATAAACAAAAAGGGTCGGTATACGAAGCAAGGCATGGTAGATTGAATTTAATTTTTTATTTTCTATACGAAAGGTAATTTTTTTTTTAATTAACTTATTGTCAATCCTGCCATTTGTCCCTGCGATAGATTTATATTATATTTATATGATTGTAGCGGTCAATATCCGTTGAAAAGGAAAATCTTTTAGACAAAAGTCTTTAACAAAAGCGAGTCTTTAACTCTCAACTGCCTCTTTTTTTTTCTTTCGTAAATTAATCAAGAAACTTGAAGATTTTTTTCTACCAGAAAATAAAAAAACAAACTAGTTCCTGGTCTATTTAACAAATATCGTGTGTTTTTCTCTAATTTAGTTTATTTGTTTATAAAAAAAATTTTATCTATTAAATAATATATAATGTAATATATAGAAAAATTGGACTAAGAACTAGTTTTTCGTTCTGCAATTTTCGAAGTGAAAAAAACTGTTTTTAAATTACACCTACAGGGTTGCCACAGGTCCAGGATTATTTCAAAAGTTTGAACGCAATTATCTCAATAAATAACAAAATTCTTCACAGAAATTCAATTATTTTTAGGAATTTAAATAAAATTCTTTGCAAAATCCAATTATTTTTAAAAATTTTTCGTGATTCAATAAATTTCAATATTTACTATTTTCATAAAATTTTTCAAAAAATTTTATTATTAAAAAAGAATTTTGATAAATTTTATGAAAATATCCAATTATTTTCATAAATAATAAAATTTCATTTAGGAATTCGAATTATTTTCATTGCAGAATTTCAAATACTTTTAATACAATTTTAAATAAATTCTTTAAAAAATGCAATCAATCTTAAAAATTTTATTAAAACTTGACGAAAGAATTTAATTTTAAGAAACATTTAATTCTTCAATAAAATTAGTAGCAATAATTTAATTGTTTTCAAAAATTGTTGAGTAATTATGCAAAAGAATTCAATTATCTTGATAAACAACAAAATTCTTCCCATAAAATCAATTATTTTAAGGAATTTTAATAAAATTTTTTTTCCAAAGAATTCAATTATTTTGATAAATATCAATATTTATCAGAAGAATTCAATTCTTTGGAAAAATAATAAAATACATTGCAGAAATTAAACTAGTATCAAATTTTTTTAAAAATTCTCAAGATTTAAATTACCTTTATAAATAGATAGTGAAATTCTTCTGAAAAATTAAATTATTGTCGAAAATTTTAATGAAATTCTTGGCAAAGTTTCAATTATTTAAACAAAATTTAATAAAATTCTTCGCACGAATTCAATTATTTTCCTAAATATTATTATTTAAATTCTTCTCAGGAATTCAATTATTTTTAAAATTTTTAATAAAATTCTTCAAAAAGTTTTCAATTGTTTTCATCAATTGGTATAAAATTCTTTTGTATAATAAATTTCAATAAAATTTTAATTAAATTCCTTTAAAAAAATTAAATATTTTCAAAAGTTGTTAATAAAATATTCTTCGTAAAAATTAAATTTCAAGTTTTTATTTTCTAAAAATTTCAATTATTTTCAAACATTTTTCTTAATTCAATGTTTTTCAATATTTGCTATTTTAATTAAATTTTCCAAAAGAATTCAATTATTTAAAAAGACATTAAATTATTTTCATAAAATAATAGAAATTTCACAAAAATTCGATTATTTACAAATTTTTAATAAATTTTTTCGCAATAATTCAATTATTTGGAAAAGTAATACATTTTTTTAGGAATTCAATTATTAAATTCTTTTAAGAAATTCAATTATTTTCAAAAATTTTAATAAAATTCTTGTCAAAATTTCAATTATTTTCAATGTTTATGCTTTTAATAAAATTTTTCAAAAGAATTCAATTATTTTCATAAATTATAAAATTTTTTTTAGGAATTTAATTATTTTCATAAGTAACAAAACTTATCGCAGAATTTCAATTATTTTTAATAAAATTTTAATCAAAATCCTCGAAAAATGTTAATTTTTTCAAAAAACATTGAATTTTTAACAAATGGATTTAAAAATTCTCAAAGAACTTTTTCAAAAATTATTAAAAGTAATTGATTTAAAGAAGAATTTTAGTTAGAAATTTTAGAAAATAATAATTGAATTGATGTTTTATAATAATTCCCACAGTTGTTGAATTTCAAAAAAGTTTAAATTAAAAATTTTTGAACATCTTAATTCCAATGGTAAAATAGGTAACTATTAAATATTTATTTAGAGAAGAAGTTATTAATGTTTTCAAATAATTTTACAATTAAAGAAATTATTAAATATTTATTTAGTAATTTCTTTAATTAGAGAATTTTTTTGAGTATTTAATCATTGTTAGAGTGAATCAAAATATTTTATAGAGTCGGGGAAAAAGGCCAACATTTATCTGGAAATTAAGGGAAAGTCAGGGAAAAACAAAGTTAAATTTTTTTGGCAACCCTGACCTAACAAAAATATATTTTAAATAGAAATAAATCTCCCGGATAGTTGAGAGTTAAATTTATTTGTCGAAGGGGTCGAAAAAGTTACTAATAACTAGATAAGAGTATGTGAGTGCGAGCGTAAAGTGAATTTTCTTTTTGCATTTGACGAACTGTAGTTGAGAGAAAAAAAAAATTGCGAAAATTAACTTTTAAGTCATCGATGTTACTCGTACAAAATACCTGGAAAATTGTACATTTTTTACTGGATAACAAATAACAGCATTAAAATTAGATAGGCTCTAGGCACGGATCTTGCAAATCGGGTAACTTCTCTTCCTTGTCTTTTTAAAATAAAGAAAAAATGTTTACAAAAGTAAAAAAATTACTTTAAAGAAAAGTACTTTTTTTTAATTTCAATACTTATTGAAATTAAAAAAATATATATAGAATTTAAAGAAATTTACAACAAAATTTGAATTAATGAAATTTCCAACAAAAAAAGTTCGAATTGAAGAAATTTATAACAAAAATTTGAATTAAAAAAATTTACTACTAAAAATATTGGAACTACAAATATAAACGAAATTTTGAACAAGTTATTTTTGAGAAATTTTAATTTTGAAAATAAACGAAAAATTGTTAAGCAAACAGAAAATTTGTAAATTTCGACGATTAATTTTTTTTTTTTAAGAGAGAAGAGCTCGAATCGAAGTTTCTCGTATAGTCGTATCTCTATACAACAAGTTTATAGATTGATAATGATTTGTTACGAGTGCGACGATCCAATTATTGTAGAACTCTGTATATGATTATTCTTATTAATTATTATTATTACCGCTAATATTTATCGAAAAGGCAAAATAGTTACGCAGCAAGCGTACCGAATTACTAGAGTAGTCGCATCTACGTCCAATACGATTTTTCTATGAGCGTTTTATACCGACCAAAATGTTGCTGTGTTATTCGAAACTAAAATCCAGATTTTAGTATTGCTGTAGATTTTTAGGATTAAAAGAAAAATAATAATAACCTGTTTAATGACTGAATTTTAAGACAGTTGAGAAAATAATGGTGCGATTGGTGGATATTTTCAGTTTTTTTTGTTGGTTTTGCAACATTTTCACAGTAAATTATAAAAGGAAAGAAAAACAAAAAAAAAATTAGATTCAAAAATAGTTTCCATTTATTGATTTTTAATATCATAATTTAGTTCTTTCTATAGATATTTTTCAATTTTCAATTTTACAATTAATTTCAAAAATTAATTTTTTTTCAAGTTAATTTCGTTCAAATTCAAATTTTCTTTCACAGAAAATTGTTACAAACCATTTTTGAAACAATAGTCTTTAGAATTTGATTTTTAATAATTTGATAATTAAATTTATTAAAAGAAAATATTCTTGTTCGTTTGAATTGAAAATAAATTTTTTAAATTTTGATAAATTATTATAATTAATTATATTTTTAATAGTAAAAACGAAATATTCTGAAAATTGTACTTCTTCAACTGTACCATGTATTTTACGTAATCTGAAAATTGATAATTCAAAAAGTGAAATTTCGAGAAGATAAATTCGATTTCTTAGAAATTGTTCCATTTTTAAAAGAAATTTGTTTTTCAAAAATTGAAAATTAATAAATAAAAGTAAAAAATCTTAAGTCTGAATATTTTGAAGATTGACTGAAAAAAATGCTCTCTGTTAAGAAAATACTCTGTAAACGCTTACAGAAAACGATGGGTTAAGATAAACTTTTTTTTTCTAAATGCATTTTCATAAAGAATTAGTCCCCCAAAAAAAAAGAAAAAGAAATAAAATAGTAAACGAAAATTTTATATTACGACTCAATGTCTTAATTTTATATTTATTCTCTTTTTTTTATATAGAATTTTACTTTAGAAAAAAATTATACTTTACTCGAGAAACCAATGTATAAACTTTTGTAAATTTTTTACTTTAAAAGAAAAAAATGTCTGCATTGCATTCCACGTTTGAAATTTTTGTAGAGTTCCCTCGCTATTGCAATAATACCTTCCATTCAATGCAGGATCTCAATTATAAAAATTGTACATACGTGGATTATTTTATAAGAAACAAAGAATCCCTTTTCATATCCGTCGATATTGTAAAAAAAAAAAAAAAAATATCCAGTGTTTTTATCGCCCTCCACAATGAAAAAAAAACTGAACTCCTTTTTCTGTCTCTAGTTTCTACGAATTTTTTTTCTGAGTTGTACAGTTTTATTATAAACGATTTATATTGAAAATTTTCAAATTAAAGAAGAAAAGTTTCAATCGAAAATGTAATATTGTTAAAATATTTTTATATAAACAATCTCCTATATGTTGAAATTAATCCTCAGAGAGTGATTTTTGATGGGGAGGGAAAAATATGGTCTTTTCATATATACTACAAATCAGATTTAGATTGAAGGAAGTATTTTTTGTAAATTACCACCGATTGTAACTTTTCATCGAAAAAATTTGAAATGAGAAAAGTAAAAATTTTTTTTTTTAAATCAGGAGTAGAAAATCTTAATGGCAATGTGTATTTAAAAAAATACTCTTTTTGCTGCTATTATGATAATTAGGAAATTCTACAAACTACAAGCGCAGTACTTAAGAATTTAATAAAAGAAAATTTTGAATAACTTGATTTGAAATTAAAAAAAAGAATACTTAGAGAATTAGATCCACAGATGTGACAAATATTGATGGCCTTGCTGCAAAGAGAACTTTTTCGAAAAATCTGTGATATAGCGACAGACCTCGAGGCCATCGCACGAAAATGAAAAAGAAAAAAAGAAAACAATATTAGAGGGATATTTTCTATGATTTTGACTTGTTTTCATTAAAGACTTTTTCCCTCATTACACATCTTATTCAAATCAAGATCGATATACTGTCGTCATTGTTTACGTACCAAAGCTTATTATCTTTAAGTAATTTAACGATTACTTTGTATTATTATTATTATTATTAATTATTATTCTAAGCCTATGCAGATTTAAATATATTATGTATGACACTAATGGAAATATTTGCCTCTTTATTTTTACCCCGTTTTCTGTTATACGAAATTTTTTATTTCAATTTATTTTATTAATTTTTAAATAAATAAATTTTATTTTATTTAATTATTTATTTAAATAAATTATTTAATTTAATTATTAAATAATTATTGAATTAAATTTTATGAAACTATTTTTTATTTATTATCTAAATCAAAAAATTTAATTTAATTATTAAATAACATGCAAATGATAAAATTTGTTATTTTCAAATATAAATTTTTAAATAATTTCATAATAAAAATTTAAAAAATTCACTTATTAAGTTCATAATTATTATTTTTCGTATTATCATAAATTTTAATATAATTCTTCAGCAAGAATTCAATTATTTTCATAAATAGTAAAATTTCTGGAAAGAATTTAATTTTTTTTATAAATAATAACATTTTTTGCTAAAATGCAATTATTTTCAATATAATTTTAATAAAATTTCGCGAAAAAATGCAATTATTTTCTAAAATTGTAATAAATCCTTCAAAACAATTCAATTATTTTTTTTAATAGTAAAATCTTTGCAAAAATTCAATTATTTTCTAAAATTTTAATAAATTCTTCAAAACAATTCAATTATTTTCATAAATAGCAAAATTTCTGGAAAGAATTCCATTGTTTTTTAAATAGTAAAATTTATTGCCAAAATTTAATTATTTTCTAAAATTTTAATAAATCCTTCAAAACAATTCAATTATTTTTATAAATAGTAAAATCTTTGCAAAAATTCAATTATTTTCAATAAAATTTCACGAAATAATTCAATATTTTTCTTAATACGTTATAAAATTTTTCAAAAGAATTTAATTATTTTTAAGTAATTTAAGAAAACTCTTCCCAAGAATAATTGAATTATTTTTCATAAATAATAAAATTCATCATAGGAATTAAATAATTTTTAATATAATTTTAATAAAATTTCATTAGCGAATTCAATTTCTTAAACATTTTTAATAATGTTTGTCGAAAAAATTCAATTATTTTCTAAAATTTTAATAAATTCTTCGTAAGAATTAAATTACTTTATTTACAATTTTATTTGAACGATTATTAAATTAAATTTTTTTATTTGAAACAATTTTTATTTACTTATAACAAGGTTGATTTAATTTAAATGCTTTCAAATAAAAATCGATATTCTAAAAATACTTTAACGAAGTTGTTCCAATAATAATTTGGAATATTTTTCATTTTATACCGAAATAGCTTTCGAAACATTATTTGAAGAAACTTTTTGTGATATTTTTATTTTACGGAAATGAAATGTGTAGGTTGAAAAGTAATTTTATGAAATAAAATTAAATAATTAAAATGCGAGAAATTTTCTTCAATATTGATTTAAATGTATTCTCAATTATTTACAAATTATTTTATAATTATAATTTTAATTAATCTTAAACATTTAGTTTAAAATTATTTAAAAATTTTTGTTTTAAAAACTATTTTCAATAATTTTAAACATTATCTTTAAAAATATTTTTAACTATTTTAAAATAGTTTTGTATTTACCGTGTAATCTGTATTAGTTTTCAGATAACCGTTAAATGAAATTTATTTTAGAAAATATTTTCCAATTCTTTGAAATTATTTTTCAAAACGTTTTCGAAACGTTTGGGAATTTATTTGCAAAGTGTTGAAAATATTTTTTAAAACAGACGGAATAAATAATATAAAAATGTATTCTTATTTTTGAATATTTAAAAATTATTTCTAAACAATTTTAAAATTATCGAAAATATTTAAATAAATCTTCTTAATACTTCGAATTTTGATTCAAAAATACAATTTTTTGGATAAATTATTAACAATAATTATATGAAATATTAAAATTAAAATGATTTTTTCAGATAAAAGTTATTTCTAAAAGTACGAAGACATATTTTTTAAAAAATTTAATACCAATTTTCGGATAAATAATTTACAGAAGAATTATTGAATTTCTAAAAATTTGAACCTTCAAATGAACTTTTAATTTTCGTTTTACGTTTATTTTCATGTAGATAAAAATATAAAATATAAAAGAAAATTTTTTAAAAAATACAGTAACAGTTCAGAATAAATTTTAATATACAAAATAATGTTTTCCTTTATACTAAAAAAAAATGTTCATTTGAAAGTTCGAAACTTTAGGAACATAATAATTTTATGTCCTAAATTGAAGATTAAAAATTTTGAAAACTAATCTCGAAAGAAATATGAAATTATACATGAAAGTGAGATTTCAAAAGTAATACGTGAATAATTGACTTTATAAACTTTATTCTCGAGTATTATCTATCTTACTATACAAAATCTAGACAAGTCTTTAATATTACACTCTAGACACAATGAAATTGAAACAGTTTTTTTTTTAAACGTAACAGGAATTTTTACGCCACCAAAATTTGTGATTGGTGGGACACATTTTCATTTTCTTTTTTTTTTCATGTAAGAAATTCGGTATCAAACTGTTCTAACTATTTTTCATCGAATAAAAATTGAAAAATTCAGATGTGATTTCTTAAATGTAATTTAGGTACCAAAATCATGATTTATAAACGCGCGATATTTTTTGACGGATACGTTACGAAAAAATGAAGAGAAGGAGAGAAAATTATATTAAATTTCGTAAAAGTATTTCATAATTTGGGGGAAAATGCGACAAAGCGAGTTTTATATAAAAAATATTAAACTTGAAAAAAAACTTAAGAGTTTAGTAAATTTAGTATTAATTGTATCAAATATCAAGAATTTTAGTTAAAATTTAATAACTTTACTAATTTTTATAGAAATTTAAAAATAACTTTACTAATTTTTATAGAAATTTAGTAATAACTTTACTAATTTCTATACAAATTAAATAATAACTTTACTAGATTTCATATTATTTCTTTCACTGTTTAGTATTTTCTATGTAAAAATTTCGATTTATTGCTGAATTTTTTTTTGTTTTTCCCCAAATTGTAAAATACTTTTACAAAATTGAATATAATATTTTCTCTCCGTGAAGAAGAGATTGATAAAATTTGTTTAAAAAATGAAAAACGGTTTAAATGTACATCATTTCGGCCATGTGTGACATCTTCTTTGGAATATGAACAAACTCCTCGAAATAGCTGGCAAGTTCATCGATGGTAACGTCACATGGCGGGGGTGATATTCTCGCTTGCACCGAGCATGTATTTGTACTCGAGGGTTGACCGACAGAATTCTGAACATCGGTTACACTATTATTATTATTATTAACAAGACCACTATTACTGCTGCTGCTACCACCACCAGGACCAGGTCCTCGTTTTAAACTCGGCATTGTATTACTTCGAGCACGTTGAAAACTAACTGCTTGATAATTTTCCGGGATACTCGTATCATCTTTCACTTGTCTCAATTCGTGGGTAATTTTAAGCGCTTTAAAGTCCTTTGTTACGGAACCGTGACCAAATGTTTTGTAATTTCTACTTGGAATACTGAGCCTGCATGATTCCTGAAGTAAATTATTTGCATTTTCATTGCCAGTGGAATTTAAAGTGAGAATCGCCTCTCGAATGATGCAATTCTTTTTCGGTTTATCAAGTATTACTCTTTCACTTTTTGATGGTTTGAAATTCGTTGTACTTTTTATACCGCGTGGACTCACAATTGATGGTGTTGGCCTGCTTGGCATTGATTTCCGTCGAAATAAATAACTCGTATCGGTTTGTATCCCCTTAACTGTTATACGAAATGGATTCGTTGATTTTGCATTATCCATCGTGTTATTGCTGCAAAAAAAAAAAAAAACAAAGGGAATTAATCAAAAATTCTTTATTATTATTGTTTAGACAAATATAGAGAATAAAAAAAATTTAGAGAAATAAATTGTAATGAGAAATTGTTAATTAGTCCAAAAATTGTTTCTAGGGTTGCCACAAAAATTTAACTTTATTTTTCCCTGAGTTTTCCCTAATTTCCAGACTTTTTCCTGACTGATTTTAACTTTTTCCCTGACCCTAAAGAATATTCTGATTCACTCCAAAAATTATTAGATTTTCCAAAAAAATGTTCTATTACATTTATTTACGAATTTCATTAATTGTAAAATTATTCAAAAACATTAATAACTTCTAACTGAATTCTTTTGCAGATTTACTTAAAAAATTTTTGAAAATAATTGAAATTTTGCAAAGAATTTAATTTAAATTTTTGAAATTAATTGAATTTTTGGCGAAAAATTTTGCTATTTGTAAAGATAATTGAATTCTTGACGAGATATTCGTTAAAAATTTTAAAAATAATTGAATTTCCAAGAAGAATTTTATTACTTTTGAAAATAATTGAATTCTTGTAATGAATATTGTTGTTTATGAAAATAATTGAATTTTGCAAAGAATTTTATTAAAATTCCTAAAGATAATTGAATTTCTGTAAAGAATTTTGTTATTTATCAAGATAATTGCCTTAAAAATTTTGTTATAATTAAATAATATTAAAAAAATTTATTATTGTCAGAAATAGAAAATTTTTTGAAGGTTTTGTATTAAAATTAGTGATAGTTTCATAGTTTATGAATCAAACAAAAAAGACACAAAAAATATAGAATTTTCTTATGAATTCTAAAAATTTAATCTTTTCCAGTACTTTTAATAAAAATCCCTGACTTTTCCCTTAATTCCCTGACCTGTGGCAACTCTGGTTTCGTTAAAACCGATTTTATTTCAAAGATAATTGCAAATTCAACGAGAAAACCAAAAGTCCCCGTCAACCTTGATCACCTTGACCTTAAAAAGCCTCCATGGATACCATTCGGTAAATAAACTTAAATATTAATGTACAATGTTCCTTATATTAACATACATAAAATCAATATTTTCTCCCAAGAAAAATTGTAAATTTAAATTGACACCAAAAGAAAACTTAAATTTCAGACAAAAAAAAAGAGAGAAAAGAAAAGAAAACAGACTTTCGTAATTATGAAGAAAACTAAATTAAAAACTTCCGAAAATGACTCATATATTAAGAATGTCATCAACTTATTTACAATAACAAAAAATAAAAAGCGAAACTTTATTTTTACCCACGAAGACTTTTTTTTAAATATTAAAGGTCATTTGAAACAAAAGGTGAAGGGATACTCCCGAAGGTTACATTTATTTCTTTTTGTTTTCCTTTTTTCGAAAACAAAACAGATCATGAACTTTCTTGACTTTCTTGACTTTTTTCGAAAAATTTGCAAACACCACTATTTCGTATTCATTATCAAAAGATCCAAAGAACACCACAAATTTTCTCTTTCGAAAAATATCACAAAGAAAGAAAAAAGAACTTACTGTGTACAGGACAATGAGATTCGATCAATTTCGAGTTTTTCTAAACTCGCCGGCAGTACTTCGTCTGTCATGGTTGTGGCATTTCCTGAATTAACATTCATTTCCTGAGACGACATAGCATCATGAAGGTTTTATGTTGACAAACATTAATTTGACAGTTGTTTTGGGGAAAATTCGAGAATTCTGAAAATATTTAGGTTGAAACTTAAGGTTAGGATGACGACACTATTAATGTTCGAAACGCAAAACGACGTAGCTTGTTATGAACAATGAATTTATCAGTAAATTCACGTAATTGAAATAATTTAAGCACTTGAAACGTGCACCTTTTATCAAAAACTCGCATCTGTTATAAGCGAGGGTTCACCCCCTGTTTTTTGTTTCAAAAAGAGGAATTAATAAAATTTTTCACTTTTCAGATAAATAGCACGTAAATAAACAGAACACTGCACGCAACTGCCATTTTCTTTTTAATGTAACTTTTCGGACCGGAAATGACAAAGCGTCGCGCAGTTCATGGTTGAACAGCGCCCTCAACATAAGCGCGGGAATTTTTGAATTTCTTCGAATATTTGCAGAAACGAAAAAGTGTTTTATGAGAAAAAAGAAAGAGTTATTCTTAATATTAAATTAAACAAATATTAGAAATAATACATATTAGTTGTTAATAAAATTAGTTTCTAGAGAGTATTTAATAGTAAATCGTTTTTAAATTGTAATGATTAAAGTTTGCTTTTTTCGAAAGTTGCTCCGCCTGACAATAGGCAACATAATTCACACTTTGTAATTCCGTTACTATTTTTAGGCGTATATTTCTTTTTTTGGGAAAATCAATTTTTAAAATATTTATTTAATATTAATATTTCATAAACTACGTTACTAATTTAAAGGTGAGGGGGATCCAAAAATCAATAAAAATGCATTTAACGGTAATGAGGGGTGGGGGGAGGGTGTCAAAAAAGTATCAAAAATTGCCAGTTGATAACGTACATAGTTTATGGACTAAAAGGACTAAAAGGAAATTTAAAAAACAGAAAAGGTAAATGTAATATTAATTGTGACAAACTTTAAACATGTTTACTATCCAAATTGCTGTTAAAGTGTCAAGGAATGTGAAATTTATGTTGACATTTATATATCTCATAATTTTATTTCAAAATTCTTTCTACATATAAGAACTAATTTTGGTGACAGGTACATTTAATATTTTATGATTCATTATCACAAAGTGTATGTTTTTTTTGTTTTTGTTCTTTTTTATTAGTTTATTTTTATTCAGTATTTATTGTTATTTTACTGTTATTGTTTCTTTTTTTTACTGATTATTTGTTTGTGACGCTCTTCGAAGAAAGGGACGAGGAAAAATTTGAGGTTATGTTTGTCATTTTCTGACTTTTCGAAAGCAAAAGTAAACAAAGAGGTTTAACTGTCAATATAAAAAACAAATCTTCAGTATACCTAAAATAATTAATAAATATTGACTCTAGTTTTACGCAATTAAGCAGAAACGTCAGAAACTTTTAATTAAAAAGATTAAAAGGTAAAAGTAAAAATATAACGTATGAAAGTGATTTGTTTCTAAGGGAATCTTTCTTCGGAGAGCGTCACATTATTTTTATTGTATTTCTTTACTATTTTTTGTTATTGTATTTAGTATTTTTATTGTACTTTTTACTATATTTATTGCGGTTTTTTTTTACTATTTTTATTAATAAATTTTTTTCTTTATTTGTTATTGTTTTCTTTACTGTGTTTTTTTTACTATTTCTTTATTATATTTTTCACTATTATTGTATTTTTTTACTATTGTATTTTTTATTGTTTTTGTTATATTTTTTATTTCTTTTATTTATATTTTTTGTTACATGTCTGCTTGTGGAATTTCCGTGTGCATGTTTTCATTTTCATTATTTCTCTTTTTCGCAGTGAAGGCGCAAGTGAAGGGTGCGAGTCTAGATGAGAAGTGAAATGTCACGAATGCAGCATAAATCTGTAAAGTAAAGCTGGACCAATGAGGCTGTTTATACATTATTATAAGTCGACCTGAAAATAGGGAGGATTATCCCTGGTTAATTTAAAACTCCGCTTCCCTTCCGCAATGTTAAAGTTTAGCTCCTGTTATAAACTCTTGCGCGTGAGTTTTATCATGAAAAGAATAATCAGCATTCACAAGGAGATGCGTGTGAGATAATATAAGCTCTGACGCACTTATAAATTGCTTATAATACTCTCCTAACTTGAAAAGGCGCTTTATTTTAGCTGGTGGAGCGGAAAATATTTGCAAATTCCACGAGAGTCATTCATTTGCTTTCTACAATTGTGTTACGACTATTTGGATTATTTCAATGCGCAGAATTACGTGTCTGTGTGAAAACAGCGCTTTCAGTACGTTCAGTACATTTAGTACATTTCAGTAAAGACATTTTTCCCATCAATAAACAGCATATTTCTCAAAAGTATAAAGAAAAGGGGTTTATATTTTAGCACAAGAAAGTGTTAAATTTAGCAAATTTGATCTTATTGTCTTGGTCAATTTCTCTAAATACTGAAAAATAAATAAGCGCTTTGGGAAAAAGGAAAGACAAACATTTTGAGATTATTTTTCGTAATCGCAATTTTTCTAATGGAAACAAATGAAAATACAGAAAATATAGAAAGAGGATCAAATTAATTAATACAAATATTGTCATCAACCTGAAAATATTCGCTTAAAAAAACTGATTTCGAGAAAGGAAAATTTTTTTGGAATGGAAATCAATAAAAATACAGAAGGAGGACCAAATTAATAGAAATATTGTCTTCGACAAGAAAATTTTCGTTGAAAGAATAATTTCGATAAGAATAATAATAATTTCGATTCTACAAAGGTAAAAAAAACTTTTAATCGTGCGATAATTCTATTTATATAAACAGAATATATATTTTTTGCTTTTATTTTTTTTTGTTGATATTTTTAATTTTTTCTTTCAGAATTTTTGTTTGAGAAGAAAAGTGGATTAAAGATATGGTATTAGAAAGAGTGATTATTAATACACAATATTTTGGAAAATGACTGGAAAAAATGAAAAGGAAATACACCGGAAAGGAGAAATATCATTTAAATGAACCTTGAGCTAAACATGTTTTTGAAATCCATCACTTCCGTTTTGTGATCCTCGTTGGATTTCCAGGAAAGTCACGCAATCTTAGTTTAGTACCACGTTGCCAGGGTATCGAGCCAAATTTTCTGTCACGCTATGTCGTCCAATCTCATAACTCCACCCACGAGAATTATGAATTTTCAAAAATGAATCCGGAGGACAATCGCATGAGATCTCAAGTAAGTGGCTTATTTTTCTTCTTTTTCTTCTTCTCCTTTTCCTTCTTCTACTTATTGAGTTTTTTCTCGTTTTCTTAATTAAAGAAATTTATTTGTTGGTTAACAAAATTTATTTCCTAACAAATTTTGTTGGTTAACAAAAATTTATTTCTTAACAAAATTTATTAGTTATCACATTTTTTTGGTTAACAAAAACTTATTTCTTAACAAAATTTATTAGTTAACAAATTTTTGTTATTTAACAAAATTTATTTCTTAACAAAATTTATTAGTTAACAAATTTTTGTTATTTAACAAAATTTATTTCTTAACAAAATTTATTAGTTAACACATTTTGTTAGTTAACAAAATTGATTTCGTTACAAAATTTATTAGTTAACACATTTTGTTGGTTAACAAAATTTATTTCGTAACAAAATTTATTAGTTAACAAATTTTGTTAGTTAAGAAAATTTATTAGTTACCAAATTTTGTTAGTGAACAAAATTAATTTGTTAATTTATAACAAAATTAATTCGTAACTTTACATAAAAATTGATTTCTATAATTGTTTCGATGTTTCCATTAAAAGAAGACAAATTCGTATTAAATTGGATTTTGGATACAATTTTACGGAGTTTAGATTACAGTAAAAAAAAATTAGTTTCGAGCAATTAAATTTTTATTGAAGTAGGCAAATTGATAAATTGCTAACAGAACGTTTGTGTGGTTCAAGTAGAAATTTCTTTTACTTGACAAAATTCCTTCTTTGAAGGCAAAAAATGATTAAAATGGAGGAAATATTTATTTAAATGAAATATTATTTCGCGTTAAACAAACTTTGTTTGAAATTAGCTAAAAATAAGTTTTATACAACAAAATAGAGTATTTGATGCAAACATAATTTTTTTCCGAGTGTTAGACGCTTAAAAAATACAAAATTGGAAGAATTTCTTATAAAAATGTTGCATTTTTGGTATTTTTAAGGGAAAAGAGTAAAATATACAATTTTTAGAGATTCGAATATAAATTTTAGTTTTAAATATAGATTTTTGAGTTTTAAATACAATTTTTCGAGTTTTTAATACAATTTATATATTTGAATATACTTTTTTGAGTTTTGAATACAGTTTTTAGTTTTAAGAATAGTTTTTTGAGTTCTTAATACAATTTATATATTTAAATAAAATTATTAGTTTTAAACATAGATTTTTGAGTTCTGAATACAATTTTTATAATTAAAAACAATTTTTAGAGTTCGAAATATAATTTTTAGTTTTAAATATTCTTTTTTGAGTTCTGAATACAATTTTTGTATTTAAAAACAATTTTTCGAGTTTTGATACTATACATATTTAAATACAATTTTTAGTTTTGAGTACAATTTTTCGAGTTCGAAATACAATTTTTAGTTTGAAGTATAAATTTTTGAGTTCTGAATACAATTTTTGTATTTAAAGACAATTTTTGAGTTCTGAATACAATTTATATATTTGAATATAATTTTTCGAGATTAGAATAAAATTTTTAGATTTAAATATAGTTTTTTATGTTCTGAGTAATATTTTTATATTTAAATACAATTTTTAGATTTGAATACAATTTTTTGAGTTCAAAAATTCAAAATACAATTTTTAGTTTTAAATATTCTTTTTTGAGTTCTGAATACAATTTTTGTATTTAAAAACAATTTTTGAGTTCTGAATACAATTTATATATTTGAATATAATTTTTCGAGATTAGAATAAAATTTTTAGATTTAAATATAGTTTTTTTATGTTCTGAGTACAATTTTTATATTAAAATACAATTTTTAGTTTTTATTACAATTTTTCGAGTTCGAACTACAAATTTTTAATTTTAAATACAGTTTTTGACTTTTAAACACAGTTTTTAGAATTTGAAATATAAATTTTTCTACATATTGGAATAGTTTTTCGTTTAATATACAATTTTTAGAGCTTCGAATAAATTTTTTTAAAGTTTAAAAAACTATTTTTAGAGTTTCAAAAATATTTTCCATTCGGATTTATATTTATAATAGTTTTCGTGTATTTCTCGTAAATTCGAGAGTTGAACGACATAAAACACGAGACTCACGAATAGAACCAGATCCATGCAGATTTGCTCTATCTATAAATTTGGATCTCGTAAATCAAGTCTTTTGATATCGTGTCTTTACGATCGACGGTTAAAAACACACACATTTAGTAAACTAGGTCACAAAAACATTAAAAAAAAGAAGGAAAATTAATCGAAAACATAATTAACTTATACATAATTTAATTTTAACATTCAAAAGAATAAAAATACTTCAATTTTCCAATTTTTGAACAATTTTAGTTTTTTAGTTTCTATTATTAAATTATTTTGATATATTTTTATTTTTATTTATATATTATTTTGAAATAAAAAATCAATGATATAAAGAATATATTATAATATTGCTAAAAAGGAAAGAATTTTAAAAATATAAAAGCAAAAAAAAAAGGGGGAAAATATTGTATAATGCTCGTTTAGTGTTAAATCATTATCTTGAATCGACGCCAAAGAACAACATGAAGCTTCTGTTTTGACTTCCTTTTGTCTTGTTTCCTTTTTTTAATTCTTTTTCTCTAAGACGTTTTGTCTACAAAGTACATTTCACGACCTAAGGTACATATTGTATGTTTGAAGTCGGGGCTTGTAAGGGACTGTAGATTTATTTGAGAGCCTGCCATGTCCCGCAATTACTGTCAGTATGTAGAGATACCTGATATGCAAAAGAGTTTATTTTGGTAGCACATTTTTTTGAATATTCACTAATTTGTTTCTATTATTATATAGGCGCAATTTTTATTCGAAGATTTTCGAAAAAATTGCGAAATATTGTCATAATTTAATTACAAGAAGAAATAATAAATATAGTAAATAATAAATAATAAATAATAATAATAATAAATAATTGTAATAAAAAATAATAACAAAAAAAATAATAATAAAAAATAATTATATTAAAAAATAATAATAATAAAAAATAAGAAATAAAAAATAATAATATTAAAAAAAAAAAATAAATAATTGCCTAAAAAGATATTATTTTAGTCTAATTCGCTACATAGTTTTTCTAAGGATATCAAATTGAGACAAAAAACCAATCAAAATTGTTGCTTCGCAACACTTTTGCTTCGTTTTTTGTCTCAATTTGATATCCTTAGAAAAACTGTGTGAATTTTGTCTGACAAAACATTTCTTTTTCTACTTGAACTACTGTAATTTTTTTCGGTAAAATAAAAAATGTTTCATGTGAATAAAATTAATTTTTCTACTTAGTCAGTCTTTAAGAGAAATATTTTTTGGGCAAATTAATTTTTCTATACAAATTTTCTTTTAAAGAATAATTGAATAAAAAAAAATTAAAAAATTGAATAAATAAATATTAAAAAATTGAATAAATAAATGGTCTACTGTCTAATTTTTCCACTTCTACTCAAAATAGGAATAAATTAACGTTCTTCTCTTTTTGATAGTAATACTTAATTTCACGAGACTTACTTTTTCCTTTTTTCTTGAATAAAAAAAATTAATTTTTACAAGAAATATTAATTTTTTTATTAAAAAAAAAAAAAAAAAAAAACAGTACTTTAAGGCAATTTTATATTTTTTATATTGAAAAATTAATTTTTCTAAAACAGTTTTATTTTGAAATGTTTAGAAAATTAAAAAAAAACGTTGTTCAATTTTATAGTAAAAATAGGTACTATGAAATTGAACAAAGTTTTTCTAGAAAAAGATAATTTTTATTAAAAAAAATTTTCGTTTAGATATAAAATTAACTGTTTTGACATATAAGAGAGAAAAGTTTATTTTTTGTTTCTTGGAATAAAAAAATTAATTTACACAAGAAAACTCGCTATTTTTTTTACCAAAAATCAGTAGTTTAAGTAGAAAAATAAACGTTTTGTCAGACAAAGCTTTTTAATTAGAATAAAATTGTCCTTTTATGTCAATCTCAACTTTTCTTTTTATAAAAAAAGTTAATTTTTACGAGAAACTTTAATTTCAAGTTTATCTTTTACTAAAAAACAAAGTTTAAGTAGAAAAAGACAACTTTGGTAAGACAAAACTTACGTTCAGGTGTTAAGTAAACATTACCAGAAAAGACAGTTAATTTTTTCATTGTTTGCTAAGGAAAATTACTTTTTAGAAAAAAAATTTTCTTTATTTTTATCAAAAATCAGTAGTTCAAGTAGAAAAATAAACGTTGTGTCAGACGATTTTTCTATTTACAGTAAAATTGGCCTTTTATGTCAATCTCAACTTTTTTAAATAAAAAAGTTAAATTTCAAGTTTATTTTTTACCAAAAATAGCATAAGATTTAAGTAGGAAAAGACAACTTTGGTAAGACAAAATTTATGTTTAGGTTTAAAATAAAATTTTGCAAGAAAAGAAAGTTAATTTTTTTATTGTTTGCTTAGAAAAATTTATTTTTAGAAGAAACATTTCTTTTTTTTTTACCAAAATCAGTAGTTTAAGTAGAAAAATAAACGTTTTGTCAGACAAAACTTACGAAATTGGACAAAATTAGTCTTTTAGATAAAAAAAAGTTTTCACTATAGACAAAATTTATACTGAAGTGTATAATTAATTTATTTATAGACGTAAATTTTGTCTGATCGTAATGGTCTTTTTCTACTTGATTTTTTTAGAAAAAGAAAAATTATTTAAATCAACTTTTGTGAAATAAAACTATCATTTCTATAATGAAGAAAATTATCCTAGCGCAGGGAAATTTATTAAAAAAATAAAAATTTGGTCTGACATTAACTGTTACTTTTTACTTAAAATATTATTTTCAGTAAAAAATAAATTCTACTTTTGAAAATTTGATATTTTTTTTACAAAAAAAAAGGAAATTGTCTTATAAGCAATTGAAACATTTTAATAAAAAGTAAATTTTGTCTGACAAAAAATGACCTTTTCTACTTAAAATACGTTTTCTAGAAGAAAATAAATGAAAATTAACGTTTTCTATTTAACC